GGTTTTCCCGAGTTGCACGGCCAGGGTGCACGGCCGTGCACCTCACCATTCTGGCCGTGCACCCTGAAACGCAGCGTATCCCTTAAGTCGAACTCAGGCTTCTTGCACGGCCAGGTGCACGGCCGTGCAATCTTCAGGGCCTGCCCGTGCAGCTCCTCGGCATGAGGCGCATGGCCAGCTTGTAACCGTGCACGGCCGTGCAGCCTCCCTGGTCTGCCCGTGCAGCTCCCAAAAACCTCGCCACTCGTCCGTTCTTCGTCCAATCGACCCCAGACTCGCTCCTAAGCCTTCATTCACGCACTAGGACCTGAAATATCACAAACAAGCACAACCTAGCGTGAAATCGGCCTAAAACACGAGAATCAACACCTCAAACGGTGTAAGAACGGGGGTAAAAACATGTGTAAATGACGGTCTATCACTCACCGTACTGTCACACTAGGAAATGGCAAAGTGCAACCACCTACTAATGTGTAGTATAGCGGGTTTAGTCTTAATTGTCAACCCGGGTCCTAGATGTGATGACTACTTCGGATCTAACGGTAGTAATGCTCCTGACTGGCTACAGGTCATGCACTACTTGCACATAGCCAAGCACGCAAACCCTTGAAGGCAAAAGTGGGACAAAGCAAAACAATCGGTGCGGAAAAGAAATGCTACCCGGCAACGGCGCCAAAAACTTGACTCCCCTGTATTGTCACACTAGGAAGTGGCCAAGTGCAACTACCTACTAATGTGTAGTATAGTGGGTTAACTCTTAATTGTCAACCCAGGTCCTAGATGTGATGACTACTCCGTGAATTCTCGTTATCTAGCGGTTTAACTGTAGTGAGATTATGAGTAGTCTAAACTAACACAAAGCAGTAAAAGTTTTAGTTCAAGTTTGAGAAGGCTCACTGACACGCTAAAACACAACACCAAACAATGGCCAAGTGTAACAAATGAAAGGGACTGCAGTATAGTGGCACAAGTAATAAATATCGAATCCACGAGTCTCTAGAGTTACTATTACTCAGCTTCAGTTCATTATCTAGCAAACTAGATTAAGGATTGATTTACTAAACTACTCTACTAACTACTCTACTAATTACAAGTTGGAAACTCACTTAGGTATGATTCCCCCTAGCTCCTCAATTAGGTCCAAGTTGCAATTACCTTTGGATGATCTACTGTTGATTAAACTGCGGAAGATCCTAAATTAGCTTGGAATCTCTTAAGCTGACCAAGCCCTCTTAGACAGAATACCCGGCAGGCGACTAGCCTTCACCGGGATAGGCTGTTAAGGCGATTCATACAGATCTCCACTACTGGAATGAATTCTAGTACAAAGCAGTGAATTGATTGACTCTCGCACAACCAATTCACCAGCATCAATCAAGGATGCTCTCTTAACCTAATCAGATTCTATCTATCATAGGTTAAAGCAGAAATCAAGAGAATTTGATCAAGATTCAATTGACTCAATAAGTCATGCCTCAATCGATTATAATCAAACAATATAACATCCAAAACTTCATACAAGAAAGATCCTAACACATGGAACTAGGGCTCCTCAAAACCTAAGTGAAGGGAAGTTACTCCATAGAGAAGAGAGAGACTACAGAAATCTGATCTAGATCTTCAATCTCCATCTCCAAGCTTGATTCCCGAGCTCCAATGGTGAAGAAATCCTCCAAAATAGCTCCAAGAATGTTCCCAAGTCGCTCTCTCTAGGGTTCGTCCCTTGGGTGTTTGGGAACCAAAACCCAGCTTTCCTTCTCGTTTGGCTCGAAATTTGGCTTAAAACCAGAAATTCCCGACTCGCACGGGCAGGCCACACGGCTGTGTGACTTTCCCAGCTGCACGTGTGAGTGTCCAAACGTGGCGTTTTGATTAGTGGGCAACCAGGCAAGCTGCACGGGCAGAGGCCACACGGCCGTGTGGCTCCCCAGGCTGCCCGTGTGGCTTTTACCGAGCCTTCACACGGCCACAAGAGGCCCCTACACGGCCGTGTGGCTTCTCAGCTTCTCGCCAAACGTCCAAACTTCGTCCAATCGACCCAGAACTCGTTCCCAAACCTTCATTCACGTACTAGGACCTGAAATATCACAAACAAGCAGAACCTAGCGTGAAATCGGCCTAAAACGCGAGAATCGACATCTGAAACGGCTCAAGAATAGGGGTAAAAATATGTGTAATTATTGGTCTATCACTCACTCAGGTATGAGTCCTCCTAGATTGCAGTTAAGCCAAATTGTTATTCACCTAAACCAAGTTGATTGATGTTTAAACTGCGGAAAGTTCTTAAACAGTGTGAAGTCTCGACTAAAGTGCTTCAGACCCTCTCAGCTAGAATACCCGGCGGGCGACTAACCTCCACCAGAGTAAGCTAGCTGAGGCAATCAGATTACAACTTCCTCTGCTTGTTTCTAAACCAGTACAACGCATGAATTGACTTCGCGACTAAGGTCGCCAATCCACTACTTCGAATTCGAGGTGCTCTACTAACCTATGTAGAGATTATCCTTATAGGTCAAAGCAGGAATCACTAGAATGTGATCAAGACTCAAGTAATTCAGAGAAAGTACTTCAATTGGATTTAAATCAATCAATCATTCAAGGCAAGGGGTTCAGACAACTCAACCTAACATACAATATAGGGTTCTTACATACCCAAGTGATAGACGGGGATTACTCCATAGAGAGAGAGTGGAAAGCTAAGTCGGATGTGGAAATCATCGTGTTGAAGGAAGAAATCGGCACTGAGTCATCAATCGTCTCTACTTGAGGCTTGAATCGAGCTCCAATTGTGTAGAACTAGATCTAGGGCGCTCAAGGATCTCTCTTCGTCACTTTCTCTCTCTAACCTCTATTTTCTTGCTCTAGAACTTGAATGCCTTTCAAAATCCCCAAAATCGCAGCTAAGGCCTGCAGCTCGCGATACCAGGCCCAAATACCCGGTTGAATGCCTTTCAAAACCCCCAAAATCGTAGCTAAGGCCTGCAGCTCGCGATACCCGGCCCAAATACCCGGTCGGGTATTCAGAGGACCAGCCGAGTATTATGAAACGCAGCGCGCGGGCAAAGGGCAAAATACCCGACCTAGGGTAAAAATACCCGGTCGGGTGTTTTGGGTTCCTGACCGGGCCTCTTTCTATTTCTTTGGCTCTCTCGTTCGAATACCCGCTCCCTCAGCAGATTATACCCGGTCAGGTATTTGTGTGTCCTGGCCGGGTATTTTGGCCTCCAGCTCCTCTAGACGCCAACTCTCCATTTTCGACCCAAAACTCGCTTCCAAGCCTCCATTTCCACGCCAAGTCTTGAAATATGACATAAACGCACAACCTAGCGTGAAATCATATTAAAACACGAGAATCGACTCTCAAACAGTTCAATAATGGTGGCCAAAACATGTGCATATAACGGTCTATCAACCTAATTTGCACATATCGACTAATACACACTAAAATCATATCGAAATCAAATAGGAACGCAATAGGGATGTATTTGACGATGTTTAAGCATTTAAGCACATGAATTGGAACAAATCATACCTCAATATGTAGGATAAATAACACCAATTTTGGTGTTATCAAACTTCCCCACACTTAGGTGTTTGCTTGTCCCCAAGAAAATCTACTCAAACCTAATGCAATATGGTAGACTAATCAATGAGGTATGCATGCTAGTTCTTCATTGCATAGATAAGAGTATACGGGGATGAATGAACGCTGCTACCTTCCTATTGTGCAAGCACAAACTCTCGTATGAGGACAATATCTACTACCTTAGGCCGATCATTAAAAATGTGCTCTGGGGGATTCTCAGACAACAAACAACTACTAGAACTATTGGAGGTGCTTTTATTTTTTTTCTTTTGATGTAGGAGTTTTCATTTTTAGGTTTCCTTTTTCTTCGTTCGTGCACATTGCACCGAACCTTTGAAATTTTATTCATTGCATAATAGTATCTATCCCTCATGACCAAGAGCAGATGAATCATAGCCTTCCCTTTCAAGGTAACATGTGGGGAAATTGATGGACTTATTCCTCTTAGCCCGAGCACCATGTCCCAACCTGCACTCCACATTGGGTTGCCACACATGTCAGGTACAAACGAGAGCTATGTGGTCTCATGAATTGCTAAAAGGTAACTTTGGTTCTTAGCATACGATTCCATGAGGAGGAGAGAGTTTTCGGGGATGGTAAGTAGTAAGAGATGATCGGGCACTCTAAGCCAAGAGCACAATCCTTTGACGATTGATCTCAATTCTTTGTCCGGTTTCCATTCACGTGAGAGCCTCTTTTCCTTTTCTTAAGCACAAATTGTAAAAGTTCCTAGTTCACATAAAGAATAGAATCCCGCACACAATGCCTTCCTAAGGTAGCAAACATTATTGACTCACAAAAGAGGAGGAAAGTGGTAAAATCCCTCATGTAACGATACTCAAACCATGCTACTATCACCTAAGATGCACCATACATCAATCAATCTAATCTAATCAAAGCACATCGAGTAGGTAATTGCAAGGACAAGATGTTTTGGAACCCTCAAATTTGAAAAAATTTGGGTGTAGCATTCAAGGTTTCAAAAACACTAAAATTTCACCATTCAACGCCACAACATAGGAACAATTACTAGCACGCACTCCCATAAGCATTTATCGACGTCTTATATTCACAAACAAGGGAGGATACTAGCAATTAACGGTTCAACCAATCATGATAAACATTCAAACAAACACAACCCCCCCCCCCCCCCCCCACACTTGAGCAACACATTGTCCTCAATGAGAGAGTTTCCCAAGGAAAAGATCGTGAATGTTACCATAGGTTGGGTTGTGGGTTGGTGAAGGTTCACAAGAATAGCATGTGTCTTTCTAGTGGTTTTCACAACGATAAAGTGCATAAGACAGAGGAAGACGAATAGGAGTTAAAGGCACGATAAATATATAATGTAAGTACTAATACTACTAGTGCTAGAATATTAAAATTACGAAAAGTAAAACGAAAAATAAAATGATAATTAAACATTACTTTAATGAAAATAAAGAAAATCAAAGAAAAATAAAAGATAGAAATCGGCCCCTAGATTTCAAGTTGACTTTGATGCATGGTTTGAGCATATGGTAGTTGCACATCAGAGGTTCTTTCTTGCGGAGATGGTCCATCATAGCTTGTAGTCGCCGCCATTGGTTGATTTGTTGTGGTTGCTCTTCGATTTGAGGTTATTGTTCTTATCTTCAAATTTGTAGTCCTTCTCATTATGGGCGGTTCCGGTTCCTTCGTTGTTGAGGGCTAAGAGAACTAGCACTCTCACCCTCGGTTGGATCACCATTAGAAAAGAAAAATAATGAAACATGTTCTAACAAAATATTAGGCAACTCACTTGATCAATTAAACAACAAAATTCATCCTTAGGTTCACTCTATACACCCCCACACTTACGTGTTACAATGTAGAAACTAGAGGTGCATAGGTAGAAATGCATGTTGAAATGACTAGGGTTGAGGTCTAGATGCATGAATACCAGGGTGTCATTTCTTTCAAGAGGTTTCTAAACCCCGACCAAAGGCTAGAATCCAATCATTAGAAAACAACCAAAGCTTGAACTCTTGGCTCTAAAAGCATATCGAAGCACACAATTAAAAGTGAGCCAAAATTTCAAACTCAAGGATCATGCATCAAAGACTAAATCTCAAATCATAACCAAAATCCTAAGGGTATATATTAATCAAACAAGTTCAATTGAAAAGCAATGGATCAAGCAAAACAAGTTCTATGTGGTTTGGGCATTTCATCGAGCACTTGGTGGGAGACATTCAAACTCCACAAGTTCATAGTAATAAAGCCCACCAAGGCCTCCAAACACACATTCACAATCATAAACATACATTCTATGATCCTATTGCACTAGCCATGCCATAGCCTAGTGACACGCTTAAACACAACACCAAACTGCGACCAAGTGCAATCGCAGTCTGGAAATGCAGTAAGTGGCAAGCTCTATTTGTCAACCCGGGGCCTAGATCTACTGCCTACTCCGTGATTATTTATTATCTAGGAAACTAAGTCGAGTGATTGTGGTTTTAACTAAAAGCAGTAAGAAAGCAGGAAATGGTTCAAAGTTCTTTAGCAAGAGGAGAGTCACTCGGGAATGAGTCCCCCTAGCTCCTTAGTTAGGTCACAGTTGTAATTACTTCTGGATGCTTTACTGTTGATTATACTGCGGAAGATCCGAAAGTAGCTTGGAATCTCTTAAGCTGACCAAGCCCTCTCAGTCCAACTACCCGACAGACGACTAGTCTTCACTGGGATAGAAAGCTGAGGCTATGAACACAAAACTCCACTACTGGAATTGGACTCCAGTACAAAGCAGTAAATCGATTAACTCTCGTATAGCCAATCTACCACTACCGATTGATGAAGCTCTAACAACCTAATCAGATTCTATCTATCTCAAGTTGCAGCAGAAATCAAGAAAAGATGATCAGACTTCAATTGACTCAATGAATCATGCATCAATTGATTATAACCAATTAGTATAACAATCCCAAGTCATTACAATCAAGATCCCTAACACATGGAACTAGGGTTCTTCATACCCAAGTGAGAGAAGGTTCTACTCCATAGAGAGAGAGGAAAATAGAAATCAGAGTAGTCATACTCATAAAGATGAGGATAATCTTCTCTGGGATGTCGATCTTCACTCCTGGGGATGCAATCTGGGCTTCAATGGTGAGAAATCCACTCCAAATAGCTCCTAGGGTTGGTTCTTCGCACTTTCTCTCTCTAAAGCTCTGTTTTTTGCCCAAAAACTCGATTCCCTCTCCTTTGGCTCGAAATTGGGTTAAAACCCAGAATTTCCCGACCACACGGCTAGGTCACACGGCCGTGTGGCTTTCCAGTCTGCCCGTGTGGATGTGAAAATGCCACGTTTCAATTAGTGGTCTTCAGGCGCGCTGCACGGCCAGAAGCACACGGCCGTGTGGATTTCCAGTCTGACCGTGTGAGCTCCCTGGACTTTCCACACGGCTACAAGGGGTCCAATACACGGCCAGTGTGGCTTGGTCGCGTAATGGGATTCCACACGGCCACAGCACATGACCGTGTGGCTGCTAGGTCTGGCCAAGTGGATTCCTCAGCTCCTCGCCAGACGTCCAACTTTCATCCAATCGACCCGGAACTTGCTCTCAAACCTCCAATAATGTACCAAGACCTAAAATAACAAAAACGAGAACAACCTAGAGTGAAATCGGCCTAAGATACGAGAAATGAGGCTCAAATGGCATAAGAATGGTAGATAAAAACATGTGTATATATGAAGTCATCAAATTCCCCCACACTTAATCGTTTGCTTGTCCCCAAGTAAACCAAGTTAGATACAAGGTAAGCTCAACATATTTCAATCATACTAACTTTGGGGACAAATCATGAAGGCACAAAACACGTGAATCATACTGGCTTTTGATCATTGACATATGGACAACTCAACAACAACCTAGACAACCACCACAGAGGACATTCGAGTGCAGCAAAATCGGGAAAAGGAAGAGGAATCCTTTCTGTTCACCAACCAAAATAGACTTGACTCAACCACTTGATCAAGACAGTCATTGCATGCATCAAACTCAAGACATCAGAATCAAGACCGAGCAATCTAGGTCCTCACCGGGGTAATGAGCATAAAGAACAAGGAAAGTCTCTTCACCATGATGACAGCCTCTAAATGTTAGAGTTCACACAAGGGATGTCACCACTAACTAATCCGGAGGTCTTAGACACAGGTTCAAGTGACTGGCTAGGGTCTTGGACATGGGGGAAAAAGCCTTTTAGGTGGTGGAAGTATTCATAGCACAAGGTTCTAGAGTTCCCAACCCAACACATTCACAACCAATCAAACCAGTAACTTTCTTTCTGCCATTCTGCATTACTCAAATTCTCTAGAGCACAAGAGCGAAGGAGGTCACAATAATGTTAATATTTCTCAGCCAGACTGCTAAGAAACACTACTTAATGAGCATTATTCAGATTTTTGGTGGTGGCTCTCTTTTGCTTTCATTCATTTTTTCTTTTTATTTTCATTTCTTGAAAGAACCACCACCTCTGCACATTTTTCAAACAAATGCGCAACTTTTAAGAACTACCTCCAACCCTCACATTATTTTTAGCAGAAACAGCAGAGAACATGCAAAAACCACTCTGTGGAACCTTCTAAGAGATGCAAAAGGGTGATTTTCCATTGTAGACCGAAATAAAGAAAAGTACACGGCTCAAAGGGGTTGACTAGGTGGTATGACACACCAGGACAGTCCATCATCTTAGCTAGTAACAACTTGAATGCTACACATCATGGAAGAGGGATCAATCGCACAAGAAAGAAATGAGCAAGCTCAAATCTCACGTGGCTACCTATATGCTCTATCTCTCATTCTAATTCCCTGAACTAGATGCATAAACGACTGTCAAGAGCAAGTGATCAATCCAAGTCACAGTCGGTAAGCAAACAGTTGAAAAAACTGAACCCCTACACAATTCTACTGCACGTCTCAGTCATCATCATAGGTTGTCCTAGTTACAACCAAGCTGTCATGCAATAATTCGAAAGCCGTTCTATTCACCAATCAAATCCACAGTGCCAATATGATCTTGAAAACCTCAGTACTTGGAGCCCTCAAATCTCGAGATTTAGGATAGCAGACTAGGCTCCAAGCACACATATATAGATTCCAACCAATACAAAGACTCAGTTCAAGCTCCGCACACACATGGAGCAACAAGAAAAGTCTTAAACGAAAACACACGCGAAGTGGCGACGATGTCATCCATGAAGGCATCATCATTGGCTGACGGGGGTGGAAATGGAGAGTCCTCCCAGTGAGTCCGCCACACTGGCTGCTCGCTCGGTATCAGCTGGAGCAGGTGCTGCTGGACCTCTTGCATACACCGAGACCAGCCATGCTCCCTCTCGATGTGAGCAAGGGTCACCCCCTGCTGGGCCTCCATGTTGTCGAGGCGCTCATCATATGCAGCCATCCGGGTATTATACTCAGCCTGGTGAGCCGAGTACTGTTGTTGGAACTGGAGATGATGGTCGAGGAGTTGCTGATTCTGTAGACTCGGCTGATGGAACTGGTGAGTGAAGTAGTCCTGGGATGGAAAAGTAGAACTGGCACCCCCGTACTCAAAGTTGGTCTGGCGGGGGGCATCAGCAGCATCCACATCATCAGGGTGGACATACTCAGTGGCCTCATCCTCAGGAACATCGGGCTGATCCTCCGCAAGGAGTGGTGGAGCAGGAAACCCTGCGATCCACTTGATGGCACGCTCGACTCTCAGCAGGTGCATCTTCGAGATAGTGTCTTTGCCGAAGACACTAGTGTCCCCCTGCTCTGTGCAACCCTGCAGTGGGATCTGGAAGTAGGTGGCCAGGCGGGTGATGAGGGGGGTGCAGTGGAGGGTCCCCAATTGTAAAGCACTCTTGTCCAGAGTCTTGGCCACCATAGAACCCAGGTGGTGAGGATGGTCCGCCGTGCGGATGGAATGGATGAAGTACATGTACCTCCTGGTGAGGGTGCTGGCACTGTCCCCAGCTGGAGTGAAGGACTTTCCTAGCATGTTGTGGAGAATGAAGTTATCAAGCTGCAGGGTACTAGCCTTCATCCGCCCTGCATGGAAGGGAGGCTGACCAGACTGAGCTAGGAGGGTGTATAGCACCTTGAAATTAACACTCTCTAGATTGTGGAGCTCGGTGACGTTGTCCTCGTCATCGTCCAGGCCGAGTTCGAGAGCGACCGCCAAATCGTGGTAGCTCATGGAGCGGGGCTCACCGCTGAGCCTGAACTTGACAGCTTTACTGTCCGCCCATTCGGTTGTATCTTCGTGCCAGAAGGTTGTATAGAACTCGAGCACCAGCTCGTGGTAGACCTTCTCACGAATAGACAACATACGGAGCCATGTGCGGTTGGTGGAAATGGCGAGGAAGTGTTTGTAGCCATGCAACTTCTCAAACTCCCTCCTGGACCAGTAGTGATGCTTCCCAAACTTGGAGGCCAGGACGCGCTTAAAGCTATCCTTGTGGGGGCCCCTCTTCAAATCGCGGATGAATGGATGCTTGAGTTCGGGTTTCGACATGGTCCTGCAAGAGAGCAAACCAAAGTGGAGCCAAAAGAGCCATAGAAAAGGTTAATCACACCCCCACACTTGATAACAGAAAACAGCCGAACCATAGTTTCATCCATAGTTCGGGGGTCAATAACTCGATCAAAAAAGCACAATCTGGGTGGGGGTGCACATCCACAATAAATTAGGCAACTTAAGGTTCACATCCATAGCAAATACATCATCAAAGCACATCATTAAGGGCCTCAACCGGATTCCACAAAATGGTATGAAAAACTGGCATTTCATCGAACACCTTCTGTGCACTTTTAAGTTAAGCATAGAATGGGCAAATTCCTAGCACACAAGGGCACAATGAAGCATGGGAAACATTTCCCAACATAATCCACACATAATCCAAGCCTTCCCCTCAATCAATTGCACACAATTCACACAATTCATAGTGATTCTCTAAACATACACCCTAACACCCAATTCTCCACAATTCACAAGGTAAAGGGCAAAATCAAACTTGGAGACACAAGTAGAGGTGTAGGGGATGATCAGGGGAAGGCAATGGAAGCGACGGAAGCTCAAAATTCGACCCGAAAATGCTCGCCGGAGTCTCGCAGGAAATCGCCTCTGGCGACCCAAAAACGGTCCAAATCGCCTCAAATCGAGGGATAGGCCGAAAATGGGGTGGGAAGGCTGGGTGTGGTGTTGGTTTGGTTAGAAATCGACCAAAGATGGCCGGAAAATCGCCAAAAAGATGAAAGGGCGCGGTTTTCCAGCGAGGGGGAGAGGATTCCCGCGAGGGGTGATTGAATTTCTGGCCACACGGGCAAGCCACACGGCCGTGTGAATTGGGTTTTTGCTCGTGTGGCGCCGAGAATTCCACACGGGCTGGCCGAGGCCTTCGCACGGCCGTGTAGAGGCCCCCTGCTGCCCGTGTGGAAATCACAGGGCCTCCACACGGCCGTGTGGAATTTAGGCCTGGCCGTGTGGAATTCCAGAGCCCCGAATTTGACCTGTTTTCGCGCAAAATCGACCTTCGAACCTTGGATAACACCTCAATACTAAAAAACACAAAAAAAAAAAAAAGAGGAAAGGAAATGCAAACCTAGGTGGGGTTGCCTCCCCACAAGCGCTTCTTTACAGTCTTTTAGCTGGAAGCCAGTGGAGGAACTAAGGGTCCTCGAGCTTGATCAGCAGCTTTGCGCGCTCGACAACACCTCCCAAGTACACCTTTAAGAGGTGGCCATTCACCTTGAATGGCTCAGTTTGAGCATTACTGATCTCCACCGCACTGTGCGGGAAAACTTGGGTGACCGTGAAGGGTCCCGACCACCTCGAACGTAGCTTTCCCGGGAAGAGTTTCAGTCGTGCATTGAAGAGCAGAACACGATCACCTACCTGAAACTCCTTCGGGCCCCTAAACTGAGCGTCGTGGAGACGCTTGTTCCGCTCTTTGTAGAGCAGGGTGTTCTCGTAGGCGTGGTAACGCCATTCCTCCAACTCCAACAGCTGCAACTTACGTTCAGTACCTACAACACTCAAATCCAGGTTTAGCAGCTTAAGGCCCAGAAGCAGGGGCGGATACATGAGGGTTTAGGGGGTCCCGGGACACCCCTAAAATTTAGGAATATGATTATTCAACTCCAGGTAATAGTTTTGTATGGATAAAAAATATAATTAGTGATTCGGGACACCCCTACAACGATAATACTATCCTCAGTAGTAGTTTGTGTATACTTAAAAAAAAATAAGCGATAGTCTGTGTTATTCAAACTTAAGATATACTATATTTTTTAAACATTATCCCCCATTAAGTTGTAACTCATTTTTTTTTCTATTTTAAACACTCTCATAATAGTTAAAAGTTATTCCTTATCCCCGATTATTTCCAAAACCTAAAAATTAAACTAATTACGAGCTACCCTTAATTTGAATTGATTTTATGGTTACACAACAAGTGTTGAAAGAGTCTTTTCAACTTTGAGTTACATCAATAACAAGGTTAGAAATCCATACCCAGTTCGTAAACTATTGTCTAGTAGGATATACAAATTTGTTGAGCAATTTACTAAGCCTATTTTTTATTCTTTTTCAGAATATAAAAACACGTCGTGGCCTTATGTTAAAATTTGTACTAGTCCGATATTTTTTAATTTATGAATTCTTTATTTATTTAATTTTTTTTGAAGGGGACACCCCAGTTAAAAATTTCTAGATCCGCCACTGCCCAGAAGGCCTTGTGCTCTAGCTCTACTGGCAATTGACACGCCTTCCCATAGACAAGCCTATAGGGTGAAGTACCAATCGGGTTTTTGTAGGCTGTCCTATACGCCCAACGAGCATCATCGAGCTTGGTGGACCAATCCTTGTGGGACTAATCCACCGTCTTTTCAATTATTCTATTAAGCTCCCAGTTCGTCAGCTCGGCTTGCCCATTTGACTAGGGATGGTAAGCCACCGACACCTGATGCTTAACACCATAGCGAGAGAGGAGTTTAATGGATTGCCCTTAAAAATGGGTTCCTCTATCACTAATGATGGCGCGAGGTGTCCCGAACCGGGAGAACAGCTGCTTCAGAAATGAGCAGACCTGTCTTGCATCATTGGTGGGCATGGCTTGAGCTTCTGCCCACCTCAAGACGTAGTCCCCTGCAACCAGTAAGTACAAATTGCCAAAGGATGGAGGGAATGGGCCCATGAAATCGATGCCCCAAACATAAAATTTTTTGCAAATGATAGAAATATGTTGGGCCATCTCATCCCGGGAAGAAATATTACCTGACCTTTGGCAGCGATCGCACTGTCGTGCGAAGGTCTCTGCATCCTTGAAGAGTGAGGGCCAATAGAAGCCCGACTGTAGCACCTTCCGCGCCGTGCGGTTTCCTCCATGGTGACCTCCAGTAGGTCCCTCGTGGCATTGAGACAGGATGTCTCCCATCTCTTGCTCCATGACGCAGCGCCGGATCACGCCATCTGCTCCGATCCTGAAGAGGTAAGGATCCTCCCAGAAGTAATGCTTCAGGTCGGAGAAGAACTTGTGCTTTGCATGAATGGCCATCCCCTTTGGTAGCTGCTTGCCCACCAGATAATTGGCATAGTCAGAATACCAAGGGGCCACACTGTCCACTAATGTCATCGCCAGCAATCGCTCACCCGGGAAGGAGTCATCGATCTCTTCCACGAAGTTGTCAACCAGAGGGGCTTCCAACCGTGATAGATGATCTGCAACCACATTCTCAGCTCCCTTCTTGTCCCAGATCTCTGTATCATATTCTTGTAGAAGCAGGATCCAGCGGATAAGCCTAGGCTTTGCATCAGCCTTGCTCATCAGATAGCGAATCGTCGAGTGATCTGTATAGACCACCACATGGGAGAGCACCAGATATGGTCGGAACTTATCAAATGCATACACCACAGCGAGGATATCCTTCTCAGTGGTGGTGTAATTCTCCTGTGCATCGTTTAAGGTCTTCGACGCGTAATAGATGGGCTGGAAGTGCTTCTCGCGTCTCTGACCCAGAATTGCTCCGACTGCATAGTCACTCGCATCGCACATCAGCTCAAAGCTAGGAGTCACCATGATGGGTGCATGGGTAATCTTCTCCTTCAATGTCTTGAACGCCGCTGTGCACTCAGGAGTGAACTGGAATGGTGCATCCTTCTCCAGCAGCTTGGTCAGAGGCAGGGCAATCTTTGAGAAATCATTAATGAAGCGCCTCTAGAAGCCTGCATGGCCCAGAAAGCTACGAATCCCCTTCACAAAAATGGGAGGAGGTAGCTTACTAATCGTCTCAATCTTCGCGCGATCTAACTCAATCCCCTGCTTGGAGATCTTGTGCCCGAGCACAATCCCCTCACGGACCATAAAATGGTACTTCTCCCAGCTGATTGCCAAATTAGTCTCCTCGCACCTCTTCAGAACGGGTTCCAGGTTATGGAGATAATGAGTGAAGGAGTCTCCATAAACCGAGAAGTCATCCATGAAGACTTCCATGATCTCTCTGACCAGTCGGTCAAATATCGCTAGCATGGATCTATGGAAGGTCGCCGGTGCATTACACAGCCCGAATGGAATCCTCCGGTAACCAAAGTTACCGAAGGGGCAAGTGAATGTGGTCTTCGCCTGATCCTTTGGTGCTATAGGGATCTGGAAATAACCAGACATGCCATCCAGGAAGCAATAGAACTCATGGCCAACCAACCCCTCCAGCATCTGATCAATGAAAGGTAGGGGAAACTGGTCTTTCCTGGTGGTGTTGTTCAGGGGCCAGTAATCGATGCAGACTCTCTAGCCGCTCACGGTCCGCATCGGGATCAGCTCATTCTTCTCATTCGGGACCACAGTCATCCCGCCTTTCTTTGGGTCCACCTAAGTGGGGCTGACCCACTTGCTATCATATATAGGAAAGATGATCCCTGCATCGCCTGTTGCTGTCCTGTACCTGAAATCATCCCAGAGCGATCGATGGCAGAAACCAGTTTCGATACCACCTGCACCAAATCAGATGACGGGGTGGCTACAACATGCACACCTCGCCCTGGGCTCGTCTCGATCTCCTCGCAGTTCCCCAATCATAGCCCTGCTCTGCCATCTCTTCAAAAAGTTGATTCAACTGTGGCGGAGTCTTGGTGAGCATATTCCCGCCGCAGACCGAGTCAATCAACTGCTTGTCTTCCGGGAAGAGGGCATGGTAGAAGGTGCCCACCTTGAAGGCATCGGTAAAACCATGGTTGGGAAACTTGAGGAAGAGACTGGTGTATCTCTCCCAAGCATCCCGAATGGTCTCATCTTTGTCTTGAGCAAAGTGGGTAATTTGCTTCTGCACGTCCACCGTCTTGGACGGAGGATGGTAGCGGGTGAGGAACTTGTCTGCCAGGTTGGCGAACGTGGTGATCGAGTCTGGAGGTCGAGTGTCCACCCACTCCTTGGCTTGCCCCTCCAGAGTAAATGGGAAGTACCTCAGCTGGATTGCATCGGCCGGGATCCCATTGATCTTGATCCCATCGATGAGCTCGTGGAATCGCCTCAGGCGTGATCGGGGGCACTCCCCCTCTTTGCCACGGAATACCACCAAACCGCGCAGCATGGTGATGACAGAGGTGCTCACCTCAAAGTTATTCGCTGGAACATGAGGGTGCTGAATGGGCAACCTCATGTCCGTGGCTCTGGCGGTCCAGTAAAACCCCATGGTCTGCTCCTCGGGAAGGACCACATCATGGTCCTCTGGGTCACCCATCTCTTCCTCCACAGCCAGTCGTGCCTTTAACGCCCGCTTGAAGTTCCTACAAGTCCATTCAAGCTCTTGATCTAACGGTAATAAATCCCCCAACTAGCTACGGGTCATGCACTACCTGCACAAAGAATGCAAACACAACCCGTGAAGGCACAAAGGTGGAAAAAAGAGAATGCAGTAAAGAAAAAGCTAGAGTAACAAACTTTCACGTTTCCACAATAACCTAGAAGTTCGCCGGAAACGGCGCCAAAAACTTGACACGCTAAAACACAACACCAAACTGCGATCAAGTGCAATCGCAATTTGGAAATACAGTAAGTGGCAAGCTCTATTTGTCAACCCGGGGCCTAGATCTACTACCTACTCTGTGATTATTTATTATCTAGCAAACTAAGTCGAGTGATTTTGGTTTTAACTAAAAGCAGTAAGAAAGCAGGAAATGGTTCAAAGTTCTTTATCAAGGGGAGAGTCACTCGGGAATGAGTCCCCCTAGCTCCTTAGTTAGGTCACAGTTGTAATTACTTCTGGATGCTTTACTGTTGATTATACTGTGGAAGATCCGACAGTAGCTTGGAATCTCTTAAGCTGACCAAGCCCTCTCAGTCCAACTACCCGGAAGACGACTAGTCTTTACCGGGATAGAAAGCTGAGGCTATGAACACAGAACTCCACTACTGGAATTGGATTCCAGTACAAAGCAGTAAATCCATTAACTATCGTATAGCCAATCTACCACTACCGATTGATGAAGCTCTAACAACCTAATCAGATTCTATCTATCTCAAGTTACAGCAGAAATCAAGAAAAGATTATCAGACTTCAATTGAGTCAATGAATCATGCATCAATCGATTATAACCAATCAGTATAACAATCCCAATTCATTACAATCAAGATCCCTAACACATGGAACTAGGGTTCTTCATACCTAAGTGAGAGAAGGTTCTACTCCATAGAGAGAGAGAGAGAGGAAACAGAAATCAGAGTAGTCATACTCATAAAGATGAGGATAATCTGCTCTGGGATGTCGATCTTCACTCCTGGGGATGCAATCCGGGCTTTAATGGTGAGAAATCCACTCATAATAGCTCCTAGGGTTTGTTCTTTGCACTTTCTCTCTCTAAAGCTCTGTTTTTTGCCAAAAACTCGATTCCCTCTCCTTTGGCTCGAAATTGGATTAAAACCCAGAATTTCCCAACCACACGACCAGGCCACACGGTCGTGTGGCTTTCCAGTCTGCCCGTGTGGATGTGAAAACGTCGCGTTTCAATTAGTGGTCTTCAGGCACGCTGCACGGCCAGAAGCACACGGTTGTGTGGATTTCCAGTATGATCGTGTGAGCTCCCTGGACTTTCCACACGGCCAC